TTGTGGGCCAAGGAGATTACAGGCTTTGACATCGTTTGTGCTATTACTTCATTCTGAATGGGGTGGGGGATTGTGTTGAAAGCAGCTTGTGAAAGTGAGGTTTCACTCGTAACGCATTCAGTTTATGCATTCCCGTCCCCCATTTTCCTCTGTTCGATCATAGTTCTCCATCTTGCCAAACTGGATGAGACACTGATTATTGTGTTCAGATCTCTCACAACTCTAAATTTCTTTCAAAAGCAGCTGTGGGATGAGGAGACTGGGAATTGGGATTGGTGACAGTGTTTCAGGAAGAGTGTTTGACCCTTTCCTCCAGCACTATGTTCCTGAGGTAAACCACCCATCTTCCGGCTGTTATATGCCCCCATTAGGGAAAACATATGCGTATCCTAAATATGTCACCTACTACAACCAAGGGTGGATGTCCTAGCAAGTAATGAAATTATTTCAATTTATTGCACCACTTGGCAAATGAACCAAGTATCATCTGGAATGACAAGGGCTCCCTACACTCAGCATTTACTATAACATAGGAACAGTATTATTAATAAATAGATAAACAAACCATGTTAAGATTTTGTGAGAGTGTATGGCACAAGTAAGTGACTTGACTGTGCAAGTCAAAAATAACAATTATAACAATGAGGAGTAAGGACAGATAGCAGCTGTTCCTTGAAAATCTATTTGCACTCTCCTCCTGTCCTCTCCCAAGTGCCCCTTGGCTGCACACAAAGATCAGAGCCACTTTGCCATTGTGCCTTGACTGCAGAATATGAAAAGACAAGGGCGAGTGATTCCTTTTACCGATGCCTTTTACTGATGCCTTTAAATTAAGACTTCCATCTCCTTGTATCACTCTGCTCCTTTCCCAAGCAGACTTACCTCTTAAGGCACTAACACAGAGCCTATTAGCTTAGCAGAAAATTGCAACAGTTGTCACTGCTGGATCTTAGATAGGCATGGATGATAACATAAGCACTGAGATAAAATGGCTGGATGACTTAAAAAGCCAATTTAATGGACTGTGACTCTGTGTTGCAGGGCCATTTTCTGGAAGAAGGAAGCACCATTTAAAAACAAGTTGTAGACTGGGGTTGAAACAAGGTCTTAAACAGGCACCAAAATTACTTTAGAAAATGTAAGTTAAAGGCACTTCCAATTGCATACCTGACATAATATGCATGTTTGAAAGGGATAACAGCCAGCATTGTCCTTAGGCTATACTATGTGTGTATGTGTTAAAGGAAGTGAAGTACAACGCAATATTATTGTGCCACATGTTGGAAGGTGCATTATAGCCGTTCTCTATAATTTCCTGTTTTTAATATAGAACTTGGTGGTCCCCTGTAGCAAAATGGGTAGCAAAATGGCTCATCTGCTGTGCCCTTAGTTGGCATTGGCAAGAATGCCCATGGAAGGAAGAGAAACAACAAGCCCCCTGAGGTGTCCAGGATTTCTCCAATCTCATTGGGCATGGGAGACCAATGCCCAGATCCAGCTACTTCCCTGAATCAAAGGGAGCTCCTCTAGTGCTGAAACAATCAGTCCCTTTGTGGCAGGTGAACCCAGAGACATTTCCCTTGCTTCCTTGAAGGAGAAACATGAGGCTAAGATTCCTGGGAAGTACCAGGAAGGCAAGCTGTCCCTAACAGAGGATGGAGAACAATGGTGTCACTTACTTTTTGCATACCTCTTGCTGCTGACTCCCATAAAAGGGGTGTGGTTCACAGGTTGCACTTGAACAATCATAGAATTGTAGAGTTGGAAGGGACCCCAAGGGTCTTTTAGTCCAACAACTTGCAATGCAGGAATCTAAGCTACATCATCCATGACAGATGGCCATCCGACCTCTGTTTGGAAACCTCCAAGGAAGGAAAGTCCACCACCTCTTGAAGGAACCCGTCTCACTGTCAAACAGCTCTTGCTGTCAGAAAGTCCTTTCTGATGTTTAGTCAAAATATTCTTTCTTGAAACTGGAAGCCTTGGTTCGAGTCCTAAGCTCCAGAGCAGGAGAAAACAACCTTGCTCCATCTTCCATGTGACAGCCCTTGAGATATTTGAAGATGGCTATCATATCTCCTCTAGGTCTCCTCTTTTCCAGGCTAAACATACCCAGTCAGAATGCCTTAGAAGAGGGTAACAATACAAATGGAAGGTGAACTAAAGAATCCCACAGAAAGTTCATTTCTATTCTTTATTTTTATCACCAGACCTGCTGCTTGGATGTGGACTGGATCATGGATTCTACAAAGATAAGAGAGGAATTCAGGGCTCCCCTCCTACATCATGGGATCACAGCACCCTCATCCAGTCTGCCACATTTCCTTATGAAATTGCATATGTGCTAAAGCAGGGGTGGCCAACTCTCGAGAGACTGCAATCTACTTTCAGAATTAAAATCTGGCAATGATCTACCCCCGTTTTTGGGGTTCAGGTCAAAGTTGAACTTTTTTTAGGGAGGAGTAAAGCCCCATTTCGGCATTTGGGGAGGGGGGGGTTAAAGGCAAGTGTCAAAGGGAAAAATCACTCACAATAATATCACTTTGAATGAAAACAGCTACAGAGGGAAAATGCCATCTTCCCTTTCTATTATCAGACAACAATGGGGGGTGGGGCGAGGGGGCAGGGCAGGAGTCAGTTTCAAAGACGCTGAGGAAAGGGAGCCAGAGATCGACCCGTGATCTACCAAAACCTTGTGGGGATCTACCAATGGATCATAATTGACCTGTTGGACATCCCTGTGCTAAAGTATGCCTATTGCTCAACTGCTCTGAGTTTTTTTCTACAACCAAGTGGTATATAAATTTTATGAAATGAACAAATGGAAATCTTTTCCAGGAGTCTTTACTTTTGTTACAATCTGAGTGCTCCAGCTGGAGGAGGAATAGTGGGAAGAGAACACTGTCCAGAGAAGGAAAGTGAGCCCAAGTGTGTAAATCTGAACTGCAAGATGAAGATCACGAGTCAGGCCAACACCACAAATCGTAGCAGGCAGGTATTAAGGGAATCAGTTTGTGGGACTTGAGATAGGAAAATCTTGCAGGGGCAAGAAGAGAAGGAGGATTGGGCAAGAGCAGGCAAAGGGAGTAGGGTGTGCAAGAAGAGCAGTGGCTTCAGGCACCAGGTCCCAGCACGTCCACAAAGGCCAAGGATCTGAGGTCAATACCTGTTGCTGGTCTTAACAATCATGCTCTTCAATCGGTAGAGGGATCTATTTGGCAATGTATGGGTTTTGCTTTGTTTTTTCTCTTCAGTTTCAGGATTGCTAACGCCCAATCAAAAGAAAAGAAAAGAAAAGAAAAGAAAAACTTAAATGGTCAATTTAAATTGTAACAAACCAAACAATTTCTGAAATGCCCCAGCCATGAATATTTTGTAAGGGAGAAGCTTATTTACCAGCTATAGAAGACAGGTTGCAGAAGTAGTATGCAATGGCTATTTTATTTATTGCAAGGCTGCTGGACGCCATCTCCCCTGCCCCAGCCTTAATGCTCTTAAAGGTTTTAATGCTAATTTTAATGCACAGTATAATTTTGCATTAATTTATTTAACGTTATTGAATTCTGCTTTTCCATATTGATATGCATGATTCTAGAAAAGGATATTTCCCAAAGGATTTATTCTAATGAACCTGGATGGATATAAGTGAACTTATAACTTCAGAAGGAAGAGCAGGTCAGAGCTTACTTAAAATTGGAGCCATGGGGAATAATTACTCAAGCCTTGACTGGTTTTGCTTTATTTTCCATATGGTTTGTCCTCACCATATTGGAATGCAAAATTTCAGTGCTGGGGTAATTGTATCTTTGATTAGATCACTTAATTTCCTTTTTCAAAGCCCATCGTTTTAAAAATGGGCCAGCCCCATTTTCCTCTAATTCAGCATAGACTACCAAACACTATTTTCATTTCAACAATCACCCACATCTAAACACAAATTGTGCTCTTCACACAAATTAAGTTGGCACCTGGGCCAAAATTCATAACTTATGGGAAAATGGAAAATGGGTGGATCAGGATTGGCATCATCACCTGGCATAGTCTGGGGCCATGTACCTTAAGGTAATCCAGTTTATCCAACATTGGCCTCTTATTAAAAAAAAAAAAGAGAGAGACACCTCCTCCCCCAGCTTATAAAAAGTCCAGTGCTTTAAAGAGAAGTAATTGATGAGGAAGTTACAGGTACTGTCACCAAGATCCTTTCTTCTCACTATTGCCCTTGTGCTTGTCCTTGATGTGAGAATAATAAAATAATAATAATAATAATAATAATAATAATAATAATAATAATAATAAATTATTTTATTTATAACCCACCCTCCCCAGCCAAGACCGGGCTCAGGGCGGCTAACACCAGATATAAGACAATTGATTAAAATACAGCTTAAAACAAGATTAAAATACAACATTAAAATGCAGCCTCATTTCAGTAGAAACTCAAATCAAAAACTTTTGGGGGATGAAAACGTCAAATCTTCACCAAGGCCAACAGAGAAGTGTCTTTGCCTGCAACACTGAGTTGCAAGTCCAATGTAGAGCAGTCAACTGTGCTTCTCCAACATTGCCGGCCAATGTTTTTTGGTGAGTGGGGGTGCAGGGGAGAAAATGAAGGAAACACACATACCACAAACCAGACATGAGTGATCTCGACTATGGTTGTATGAAAGTGACAGTAGAACTCAGACTGCACCTCCACAGGGAGTAGAGGCAGATGGATCATACAAGTGCATATTGGGATCATACAAGTGCAGCAGCAAACACTGGTGCAGTTTGTCACCAGTGGCTGGGGGACCATCCTTGTGCCTCAGAGGACTTCAGTTTTGTAACCCCTTTGAGTTTGAATGCTCCAAACTCATCCTTAAAAAAATAGAAGTGACCATATAGTGGAGGTTAAAGTTAAAACAGTGATGTCTAAATGAGGCAGGGTACAATGTGATCATTGGCTGGGTTCTTAAATGGACCTCTTAAAAACACAGGAAGCTGTGTTGGTCCACCAGCAACCCCTGATAGCTCAGTTGGTAGAACACCAGAGTCTTAATCTCAAGGTCATAAGTTCAAGCCCCACACTGGGCAAAAGATTCCTGCATTGCAGGGGCTTGGACTAGATGACCCTCATGGTCCCTTCCAACTCTGTAATTCTATGATTCTATGAACTAGCTCAGTACTGACCTACAGCCCTATCTGTAGATGCTGGGGATCAAAGCTAGAGCCTTCTGCATGCAAAACAGATGCTATGCAGCAGTGCAGGTTAGGATAAGAATCAGATTGCAAGCAACCAATGCACACATTCATTGCATCATTATGAGTGAGGGTTCTTGGTAGTGATTTATGCTGACATTGGCTTTGGTGTGAAAATATTTAGCGTTCAAAATTAAACGATGTATTAATCCCATAGATGGTAAAATGTTCAATACTGTAGATTATAAAATATCAATTGAAGCATTTTGTGTTTGTGAGCAAATAAGCAGGCACTTTTCACAAAAATAGAACCTCATATTCTTTTGTTCTGTTTTCAGAAAAAGGCACCTATTAGAAGGGCTTGCTGTGATCCAGTTTTGTAAAATGACTAAAATTAATGATGTAAGACATATCCTATTTATTTTGAATGCCCTCAATTGTATTTTTGCATCTCTTTCATTTTTTATGAATGCCCACCCCCTCCACCTTCAGAGACATACTTCAGAGACATACTTCACAAGTAAAATAGCTAATACAGTTTCTCCATATATATTTATTCCAGAACCCAATCAACATGTAATATATCTGTATGGGCCCCAGTTGTCCTGTCAGATGCGTCCTCTCCAGAGGAAAGTAAAGTGACTTTTGAATCAGAAACTCTGAAGGACTCCATGGCTGCATTTCAGCACACAGGTAAGTTGTTTAAATTCCATCATTAAACTCATTTACCTAGTGCAAGAGTGGGGAATCTCAGGTCTAGACACTGACTGTGGCCTTCCAGTCTTCTGTATCTGGCCCTCGAGACTTGAGTGGCTTTGCATGGCTTGAATGTGTCCTTAAACTCTGATAAAATCTCTGGTGTGCAAAAGTGCATTTTACCCTTCGTCTCCAGGTCTACCCACCAATTGCATGTGGCTCCAGAAGATTGGCAGAACGGAAGATGACCTTCAAGCTGAAAAAAGTTTCTCCACTCCTGACTTAGCACTAAACCACGACTTAGCAATATGTGCAAACACAGCCATGATCTACTTATGTCTGATCCAAATATTCTATTGCCATAGCCTAGTTCAGTGGAGCTGTTGTATCTCATTACTGTCAACTGCAATATTGTCAGCAGTGACAGGCAGTAGCTGTCCAAGGCTGAATGTTTCCTGAGTCCTATATATAGATATATATTTCAGGACTGAACCTGAGATCTTCTGCCTTCCTTTCTTCACCTGGTGTTCTCCAGATGTTATATTCTGCAACACACGTCTTCCCTAGCCAATATGACTGTGCTGGTTTGGGTGTGTGGGAGTTGTAGTCCTGGGAGTCACCAGGTTGGGAAAAGCTCTTGCAGGTGCAAAGAACATGTCCTGTCATACATCTCCTTGGAGCGTGCCAAGGAGCTGCCTTCCTTCAAAGGTCAAAGTTAAGTACCTTCTAGAAATGAATCAAGACCTTTTGGGGATGCACACCAAAGATTTTGTAAGTGTAGACTTTACAGCATGTCTGAAGCAGACATATTTTTGAAACATAGGCATCATACAGATGCACTCATCAGAGAGCAAAGATTGACTACAGGCCCCTGTTGAATGTACAGTGAACGACAAACCTAGGTTTGCTGCTATAAAATTAGTCACTGAAAAAGGAAATACCATGCACACTTTTTTGGGCAGTAAGATGCATAGGAATCAATGGCTCGCCAGTACACATTTTTTATAGATGGGGCCATCCTATTTTATTTCATATGTGCAATGGCTTTATTTTTGTTGAAAATAAATCCGAGGCCTTGCAACAGAGAGCCAGTTGGTGGCTCAGAACTGCCTGAAATGCGGCACATAGATAGCTCAAGGGGTTTGGAAGCCAGCCACTTATTAGAATTACTCCAGTGAGTATTTACAATATTGTACTCTTCTATGGCATGTGGAAGATGAAAACCACCACTTGTAAAAAGGCAAAAACACCCCAACCCCAGCAAAAAAATAAAAATACAAATATCCCCCTTATTTCAGACCAGATATCTGAAGCCAGTGCAACTACTCTGAATTAATTGGTTTGGAAATTGGAGCCTAAGAGAACCCAGACCAACAGGGGGTGAAGTGGAATGGAGAGGCGATAAAGGCAAAAACACATCTCTCCCACAGTGACCCTTATATGGGGTTGATGAACGAGGGCATCAATCTGTGCCATCTATTCTGAATTATACAGAAAATGTGAGTGAATTAAAAGAGAAGGTCAAATGAAAAACCATTTAATCCTACTGGGCCATATCCTGTCCTTGTTGAGTGCCTGAACTCCTACTGACTCCTGGTACTTTATATGCAAAAAAAAAGGATTTTTAGTCTTTACATTTCTCATGTCCTCTCTCTCTCTCTCTCTCTCTCTCTCTCTCTGTGTGTGTGTGTGTGTTGCTTTTTTAAGGGTTAAGATTTCTGCAATAAACTTGAGAAGAATGCAAGAAAAGGCTCATTTCCAGCTTCTCAGAGATTTAAGAGACAAAGTATAAATAGTATCTCTCTCGTCATAACAACACACTAGTTCAACTGTTCTGAAACATTCTAAAGATATCAGTAACAATATAAAGATCTCACTAACAGTGGCTTTCCTTTATGTTGAAGAAAAGATAATGAGATGAATCCTGGCAGCCTTTGCAACAAACTTACAAATGTAAAAGGTGGAGAAAGCAGGGATTTAGCAACAACTAACCCCAAGCCAGTTTTTAGAGATACAAGTTCCAGACATTAGTCAGGGACCTTGACAGCCTCCCGGCTTCTCCAAGAGGCACCCATCCTATCTCAGAGGCCCCATCATGATTGCACGGGAGTTAGACATGCATAAAAAGTTGAGAAACCACCACACATCAACATGTTATTAATAGCTATGCTTGTTATCAAGCATTCATACAGCTGTTTTTTTGTCACATTCCTCAGCTTCTATCTTAAAATGCACTCACCATTCTGAGGCGGGTGGGACCTATAAGGTATTCCTAATAATATTCCCTCTCCCTCTCCTTTCAATACTAAGGACTTCTTCAAACACAAAGGAAGAACATGATGTCCTCAAATGCTCCCCTATAGTTTTGTGCCATTTCACGCCACCCTAATCCCTGAGATGCCAGACGCTCACCTATGGTTTGTGTTTCCCTTTGGAAATGATGCACAGTGGAGACTTTAGGTGTCTTTAGGATATATGGTTTCTTTACACATATATACAACCTGAGCCTAGGATGGACAGATTCACAGCATTAGCAGCCCTAGAAGGTCCTGATTCTCCCACAGCCACAGCTTTGGATTCAAGCAGAAATCAGCCATGGCACTCTCTCACTCTCTCTGCCTTTCCAGCCTGCCACTTTTTTTTCTAGGTCACATCACAGCAAACTCTGCTCTCAAACTCAGGCTCTGTCCTAACAATCCAAGGGCTGGAGGAATATTAAACAGGAGTGGCCAGTGTAGAAGAGAGGTGCTTCACCACTGCCCTGCCAAGATGGCCATTGCTGGCACTTATTGGAACTGGACAGGGTTAGGACAGGGTAGCAGTGACGCCAGGGCTCCCTAGGTGCACCAATGGAGCCAATCCAGTTCTCCTGAGCTTGCAGTCAGCTTAACTCCTCCACCCACACCATCCTGGTAAGCAGCTGTGATTCTGCTGTCAGCCCATCATTTTCACCACACTGCCCACTCCTGTTTCTATGACTTAAATACAAAAAGAAATTAAAACAAAACAAAACAAAACAAAACAAAAATTTCATACAAAAAGCCATCTCTGAGCAGATCACACAAATTGGGAGGATTAAATTGAGAGGGGAAGATCCATGCATGTCACCTTTTCCTCCTTAGAGGGCAGGTCATATATAAATGTCATAACAAATAAAACCAAAATTTGCTTTGTAAAAGCATGAACCTTTTGATACTTAACAGTATCCTTAAAATGTAATCCTGCACACATGGACCTCAGGATTAAGTCCTCTTGAACACAGTGGGGCTTACTTCTGAGTAGACATGTGTAGGATTGCACAGCAGACGACTTTGAATTCTTCCCCAAACTAAATGTTAGTAATTTCTCTGTGGGGTTTCCAGTTTTGCAAATAAAGAGTAAGCTCAAATCTCCTCACTGCCATTTTGTGAAATGTGAATCTCCACTCTGATTTAACATTTGTTAATTAAAATGTAATGTAACTGTTTCTGGCAAATGTTCGCATTTGCTAATGATGTTGGGTGCAATCCAATCCTTACTACATTTGGATATCTCTAGAATAGAACATTTCATATATATATAGAGAGAGAGAGTGAGTTCTTGTATATATCTTGATGCCTAACTGGCAATTCAAAGTCTAGTTCTGGCTTTCCAAGCAATTTTATTTGGCCCTGAATAGCCCTAACAAATTTTAATGGAAATGTAGTAAAAAGTTTCATTTATAAGATTAAAAAAAATGTTTTCAAGTTTTAAGAATTAGAGATAGTGCAACTTTGATAATGTTATCTAATGCTAACTGTATTCAGAGTGTTTCAACTTAGCTGGATATCGCATTATGAGTGTATGTATTCCATCATTACGTAGCCTTTACTGCTAGATGTCCCCATTTTTGTTATCAGGTCAGATCATTAGTAGAAGACATCCATTGGTGTGACAATATATAATTCCAGCCCTTGGACCACTATCTGCATAGTACAGCAATCCTAAGAATAAACAAGCCGGCCATGCCTGCCAACCATTAGACTTCTTCTATACGATTTCCGCATAGAAAGCTGCTTTATAAAACAAAACATATGCTTCCAGCCCTTATTGCAGCCTGCAGCATTTGTCAATTTCCCAGTGCCCATTACTCAGTCAGTTTCGCTCCGAGGCTTATATAACCTGGTTTCAGAAACGGGGATATGTTTATTCCTATTGAACACAGTGCTGAACCCAGGAGG